GGCTTGTTTACTGATTAATCTGATATTCTATCCATAGCGAAAACAGTGGAGACACGATTATTAACTTTAGATTTGCTATTCTGGCACGGGTTTATGACTCGTCTCTAATTTTACTTTCCATTTTATCAAAGCGTGTCCTAGAATTTTTAGAAATAAGTAAGATTTATGCTTTTAGTTGATGATTATGTGCTCTCTGATCAGGTGGAGGCCATCATGAATGACTTCATACAGCTGAAGCCACAATCAAATGTTTACGAAGCTGAAACCATGGTTGAAGGTCAAGGTTCCATCTGAAATATTTACTTTTATAGAAAGTAGATGTCAAACGTCTTCCTAGTGCTTCACTAGGAATTAAGCCATTTACGATCCAATTTAAATCTATCCTTCTGACTTTGATAGGGACTCTTGATGGTTTCACATTTGATTCGGACGAGGAGGCTGAAAATTTGCGAAGACCAGCTTCCCAAGACCAGAACGAGAATGTTGATCATCAGATCAATGGAAATGTCAAAGCTAAAGCTAAAAAAGCATCGGTATGCTTTGTTCTTTTTGTTTACCACTGAGAGTTGCTTCAATTTCTAGGTCATATATTGAGGTTCAAGCTGTCTCTGCAGGGTACGGAACAAAAGAAGGGCAAGAAGGGAGTGAAGATACCAAATAAAGGTAAAAAGAAACCTCAAGCGCCGAAGAAAAGCAAGAGCAAAAAATAAGATATGATTGTACATATTTCATTCATACTTTATGTAATCTCATTATTTTCTTTTCCTCTTTGTTTCCTTTTTTTCTGTGCTTTGTGCTTTGTCTACACGAATACGAGTCATAAATTTTTAAGAGCTTATGAAAGTAGTCATAGGAAATGAGAATATTGGTACTGACAAGATCGTATTTTTTATTTGCAAGATTTTCACATCGCAGTTGAAAATCCACCATCTCAACCCTAAACATCCACCATATTTCGTTTGGAGGTTCTTTATCTATGAACTTTAATCTTGGATTTTGATTGCTTTTCCTTTGCATTTCTCAGTTGCAGGTGAATTTAGATGTGTGTTGATTCAATTTAACAAAGAACAGCAATTCATCTGATTTTCTACATTTTGTTAGTATGTAATGTGATACTTAAAAAACAAGTAAAGAGAATGTTTAAATACAAGCTACTGCCTATTTTATACAGGTTGCTGTTTGTATGGATTTGCTCTAAGTTTCCTCAGGAATGCCCAACTATTTCTCCAGATATCGTTCCTTAAATGTTCTCTTGTTATGACATACGATGTCCTGATTTGTGCTGTTCCGACTTATGTCTGGAGATATGTGCTGAAAATTAACAGCACAGTCAGCATCGGGAATGGAAGGAGAATGTGTGAAGATACTGTCCCTGATAACTTTTCCATTTTGCTCTCTTCAATAGGTGTAGTTGTTTCTCCACCGTTGGGTCTCTTTACCCTGTTCACAATCCAATAGTGGTAGATTAGAGGAAAATGGAAAACATAAGATCTAGTGTATGGATAATGAGATATATTTATACACAATAACATTACCCGTTCATGGGGCAGAAGATGATTGCGTAGTCGTCAGCCTTGCAGGTAAAAGTGCTGGTGCCATCATCATATGCATAGCTATAAGCCCTTGGACAAGCTCTCTTGAAGATGCTGGAATAGAATGATGGCCGACAAGTAGTTGGATTGGCAAACTCTCCGGCACAGCAATACTGATCTAAATCAAAGGCCTCACATGCACTCTTGCATGCTACTACATTTCCTTCTCCTTCTCCATCTCCATCTCCACCCACCACTTGAAGTTCTTTTGGACAACCTGTTAGATTTTTGGAAAGATTTATTAGTTTTATCTGTTAAATGCTTCTAAGTGTATTTGCACCTAAAGGTGTGGTCTAGCAGTCAATGAATTGCCTAAGTCGTGGGGGGCACGGTTTCTTGGTGCCTGTGCTGATGGAAGGTAGCAGATACCCAGTATAATAGTCGAGGTGCGTGCGAGGTGGCCTGAATGTCATTGCTATAAAACAACTACATGGAGAACATACCCATGTTAAGATTGGATACACATCCAGTGACATTGCATTCTCCATCGACTCCCTGTGGGGTTGCAACCATTGGCAGGTTGTAACCATCGACAATACTAACGTCGTAGAAATCTTTAGCCTCTCCCACACCCAGAGTTATCTCGAAGAGAGAAGCAGGTGGTGTGGCACCAAGGCCATCACATTCGAGCTTTCCACCACAATCACCTGTTTGACAAGAGCCAACGCCAGAGGCATCAAAAGTACAGCCAGTTCTTGCCCAAATTCGACCAGACCATCCGGGGACACTTGGGATTCTGACGCTTTGGCCAGCATTCAATTGAAAGCCAGTCGTGGAAAGTTTAGGTGATGAAGAACCAGACAGTGTACCAGGCCATATTGTATAAGGACAAATGTTAGTAATGGTGAAAGTGCTGCCAAAAGAAAGAGAAAAGTACGCGCAGAAAATCAATGAAATTGAAAGCTTTTTCCAGGAAGTTATGGTAAGCATATTATTATGGTCCTTAGTCTATGGTTATGTCCTATCTTTCTGGGATATAGAGGTAGGAGTGGGGGAAATTTAGAATACAAAAATGGAACACCCTATCATATTTGTAGGTGGAAAGGAATTCTACATATTTGATACAAAATCCAAAGTGTTAAAGTTGTTTTGCTTATTCATCAGCTGCAACATCACACCTCTGGATTTAGCATTTCTTTGCGTCTCGGATGGCACCAGTAAGAGGCAATTCCTTTCTTTAGCAACTTCGAGGATGCATGTCTATGAAAACGATATAGAATCATTAAATAAAGAATCGGTTTGCTTAAAAAGGTTATGAAAAGGGTATTTAGATTCCCATAAATTAAAAAATATGTATCAAGATAATATAGATAACCAGTCTTCATTACTAAGTGTGAAACAAAGTGTCAAGCTTAAGCTTTACCATAATAGACATTGGAATCGTTGTAGGATCCAATTGTCACTGAGACACTAACATTCCTTTGCAATACTAACCAATGACTTGCACATTTCGGTTGGAAAATATTTGCCTGCTCTCTATCCATGCGTCAAAGCAACAAGTAGTCCTCCTCTATTTATATGAACCTATTTCTTTTTTTTGTCCGTTCCAAAAAGAATGAATTCTTTCTAAATTTGAAAATAATTTAGCTTAAACTTATATTTCTACCCTTAATGAGAAGCTTTTAAAACCACACAAATATTCTGGGTCCCTTTTTGACTTGTTGAAGACCACAAATTTCAAAAAAAATTATTTTTTCTTAAACTTCGTGTCCAGTCAAACAAAGGGCAGGGCAGCCCGATGCACTAAGCTCCCGCTATGCGCGGGGTCCAGGTAAAGGCCGGACCACAAGAGTCTATTGTACGCAGCCTTACCCGGCATTTCTGCAAGAGGTTGTTTTCAGTCAAATAAGTTCACATAAATTGAAACGGAGCGAGAATATGATATGACGCGTGTCATTTGCACAAAAATTATCATTTAAGCATGATGAACTAATATACATTTTTACATAAGATATTCTTTTAATTATATTACATATTTTTATACTTAGACATACATAAGATCTTTATATGACCAACAACAATAACAATAAACCCAGTGTAATCCTATAAGTAGGATCTGAGGAGGGTAATGTATACACAAACCTTATCCCTATCTTGTAAAGATAAAAATATTGTTTCTGATAGACCCTTGGCACAAGAAAAGATCTGTATATAATCATTCTATTCTATTCAGATTGTAATACATTATTTTGTATCATTCCCGTGTTTGTTATGTAATCATAGTAAATTGACATGATATGGGTTGAATCTGGATAAATTCTGACGTTCATTTAATTATTTTTCTTGGTGAACGGTTGGCTCCCTTTTATTCATTAAACATAATGAATTTGCGACGAAGCAACAACATGTCATTGGTTAGGTTGTGCAGGAACGACTTCTTTCCTTGGTCTTTTCACTTTTGAATTAAATGGAAATGGGCTCTCTTCTTGTTGCCACTGTAAGTGGATGTCGGCAGATCGTACCAACTCAACCAACTCCAATAGCCAATTTAAAATGGAGGTAGTTTTGTACTGGCAGCAAAGTCAATTTCATGAGCTATTCAACGATTTTATACACTGTATTAACCATAAATAAAAACAAAAATAACATACAGCAAAAATTACTGAAAGAGTAGCACACCTCTCTTGGAGAGAGTAGTTTACTGTGGTCTTTGGTGGCTCTGACAAACGGGAACAAATGATCAAGACCAGCAAACTTAACAAACATCTTTTCCTGCTTAACCTTGTCAATCAATCGAAGAAAAAGTTGCCAAAACAATTAATATGAGGGACATACCTAGCAATTATAATTGATGAACTCCATTATTCTTCCTTCAAGTATTTTGTCTCCATCACTATGAAAAGCCAGCAAATACTACAGTAGTCAGATTAGAACCAAAAAATGGAAGAATAACCCAAGGAGCAATGTACATAAACATGAGAACAGCCTCAGATTACCAGCCAATCAGATGAAACTAGCCGATATTGACAAAGAAGCATTTTTTTATAAGTAATGAGAAATGTTTTATAAATGGTAAACTCGCACTCCACCAGTGCTATATAGGAAATTACAGAGACTGCAAACACCCTGTCGGATCTCAATCATTGAATCTGCATCATGTACAATGCTGAGTTCGCACCAAAAAGCTAACAAAGAAATGCATCTAAGGAGAAATGCATCATTCCGTTGTTTCTTTCAATCCATACACTACATCAGATTGTGGTGAGGCATGCCTCCTTAGCCACTGACCAAGTGGAACAGGACGCTCTCAAGGGAGCTTTGTTGCAATAGATCTCCATAGACATACACAATTGACGAAGATGTATTCCCCGAGTGATCAATGTCAGATTCAAATGTTGATCGTTCTCCAAGAGGACATTTCAGTGGAAATCATCTTTGACTCGTATGATGACTCCTAAAATTCACCACAGCCGATCGCACAGACATTGCTTGAAACGAAATTGCGCTAAGCTACAGCTAGAGACCTGACTTTTTCTGGTCACTGTCATTCACCTTGCCTTCCTGAAAAGTAGCAAGAATGCAGCATATAAGCAAATACTGCACTGATTGGAAGTGCCAATTTAGAATTCAAAGCACAAAGAAATGGGGAACATACAGCAAGTGTAGCCTTTCTGAATTACATGAAAACGATATCGGCAGCAAGGCACAAATGACAGTTATTATCAGAAGGCAGAAAGTTAATTATTAGTGGATCAATGCCTGACACCTCTGACTTCAAGCACTTTCAACCAAACAGGATCTTTCTTTCGCAATAACAGAGGAGCAAATTGAACAGCAGGCTAGTCATTTTATTGTGGTTAGCAGACACCCCTTGATTTGGCTGCTAAAGATTCTTCTTCAGGTAACACTATCAGAAAAAGCAGATGCAGATAGGCAGAAGTAAACACCAGACTTCTGACTCCAAGCCATTTCAACCAAATAGGACCTTGCTTTAACAATATCAGACATGATATTACTGACAATGCTACAGCAGGATAGAGTTATGCTTTAACGTGGTTAGCAAAAACCAACTGATTTTGTTAGATCCACATCCTACCCATGTTCAAGAGTTCAAGGTTCGTAACTGGTTCTAGTTGTTCAGACTTCAGACCTCGTGGAAGAGCACAGATCTGCTGAATAAGGAAAGAACAAACTCAGTAAGAAACTCATGATTCTGCTAATGAATTCAGACAAATAATAAATCCTCAATATAACAAGCTATATCTCAACTCACAGTAAATGCTTGAGTTCCTGCAAAAGTAAAACCATTTTTAGGATGCCATGTATGAACAAATTTTAAAAGTGAACTAAGACGAGACTAATGCAACAGGTATGAAAGAAAATAGAGCTCTCCTCCAGAACCTGCCAAACAAGTAGGAAGTTAAAGCTATAAAAGTAGGTGAGCTTTAATGAGCTCACTGAAAAGAGTTCTTCATCTGATGGGGCAAGTTCCTGTAGGAAAGCAAACAGTACTATATGTTCCTGTAGGAAAGCAAACAAAGTACTATACATCCACTGAATGGATTCCAATAAACCTCCCAAAGTTAATCACGGTAATTAGTAGGTGACTAAAGAAGTCCAGCAAGCCAATATAGGCATTTGACAACCCAAAAAAGGATAATTGCCACTACTTAAAGTGATTACACAGTAAAACCATATATAGTTAAGGTTATACAAATAGCTGCACTGCATATAGTTAAAGCCTCATGTGGCATCAACTTGAGCGCACATCAACGTTTGTAGACATAATATTGTTACTCCTAAATAGTTACCATAAAGCTACAGTCCATGGGATTGTCCAATATAAGTGCCTCCTACAAATGGCAAGACAACCAGGTCTTCCATGTAAATTATGAAATTATTCTTATTCCTGTCCCAAAAGACAGGAAATTTTAAAACAGACGAAAGGAAGGAAATTTATTATATCTAGCTCATGTCCATTCCATCTCCAACTTGACTGCAAATGGGACTGACAGCAGTGAAAGATCTCTCAAATGGTGATGGATGGAAATGTGCATCCCTTCTGCGCTTAAAGGCGCAGCTATCAGAAGGGGAACTTTCCGCATCAAACTTCCTCCGTACACCTTTCACAGCCTGCACTTCAGCTGATGTTAAAGGGAAAATCTGCTTGCTAACTCTGCAAAGAGAGTTATGATTATCATACAGTATTCGCTGGTTACAGTTTTTGTCACAAATGTGTGTCATCCCAGTTAGACGGCAGCGGTACATGTTCCCACAAACATGTTCATTTGCACATTTCCAATCGCATTTGTGAACAGGGTTTGGGCCATCTTGGCCAAGAATAGTTGACAGATATATAACATTTGTAGGCACTGCTACCATAGATTTTCCAAGTACCTCCATTGTTCAGATGATCAGCAAACTTTGAGTTTGAGAAGATATGCACACCCCAATTGCCTTGCCCTGATGCTCTGTAGACCCAACAAGTACGAGATCCGTCAAGATTGATGGGACGATTATGGAATAAAATGATTTCAAAGGACTAAAACCATCTTAAATCTTTTCCTATTGAAAATCATCTCTAAGCAGACCTCAATTTAGAAAGGAAATAAAAAAAAGCTTAGCATAAAATACTTGATCAATTGGCAGTTGCACCCAAAGGTGTGGGGAGAAGAATCTTGAGGTCTCAAGTTCAAAACCCAATGGAGAGAAGGAAACAATGGGTGATTTATTCTCATCTGCCTAAGTATTGGTGGGCTGAGTTTGGGAGGAAGCAGTCAACCGATAGAATAGTTGATCGGCGCAAACTGGCCCGAGCACTACTATCATAAAGAAAATAAAAAAATGGAGGTTCGAGAGGTGCTTCCCCCNCCCACCCAAACCCAACAAATGGAGTCGTCCACCAGATGGGTGTTACAACTTCATAGGGAAAAGGAAAGATATGTGCTAAGCAGTAATAATTAAAAAAAAAAGAAGACATGTGCTAAGATATGTGCCAAGCAGTGCTGCAGCAAAAACAACTTAAGTGGAACAAAACCAGGGAACTGACTATTAACTGGCCACGATAAAGGTTTTTGATTCAAAAGATATCATATTAACCCTCTCCATTTACACATCTAGAGTAAATCTGTGGTGTTCTATTAGCACTAAGTGCAAAAGTTCTTCCTTACATGTAATTTCATAAATTATCTGGTTAGGTGTGTATTGCAAAAGTAAAATTTTCACCTCCAAATTACACCTAAAATAAAGCTCCATTACAAAATTGACAAAATAGGGCGTATAGGAACAGTAAAATATTCCCAAATTTAGCCATAGCGTACAGATATTTATCTCCCACAAACATTTAGCAGAGAATAAACCAAATCTAACGAGGAATATCTCAAGATCTAGGACATAATTATAAATAAATTTTAAAAAAACAGGTAGGTATTGCAGCTACCTAATTCTGAGCTACTTCTACAAGAAAATATTTTTTTAAAAGAGAGGCAAAATCATGAAATTAAAGAGACTCGAGAAAGAACTTACGCAGAAACGGAAATGAAGACCACCTCCCGGAGCTATTCCTCCTACCTACGCGCTCTCTCTCTCTCTCTCTCACAAAACACAGTTTCTCTCTCTGGGACTTTTTCAGAGTGAAGCAAGGGAATGGGGAGAAGTAGGAGGAGTATTTATAGAGTGTGGCGACACGGATAAGATGCTGTGATCCGATTCTCATGTGTACCGTTGGACGTAAATGTAAATCTACATGAAATTTCTGCGAAATGAAAATTTTATTTTGTCCTTTTCGACTTTGTTCCTGTTATTACGACGCCGTTTTAGTTTTCCATGGGTTTAGGCTAAATGCCGGAGGGTGCATTTTCCATTCACGTGCCCCACTCCTTTGGACTCTTCTATAACCTTTATTTTTCTTTTTCTTTTTCCTTTTATCGTGGGGAGCTTTTGGTCAAGGTCGTCGTTTTGTAACGTTAAAGTAGAGAAGGAGAAAATAAATAAATAAATAAAAGACTTGATAGGCCTATCAGGAGTTGGCACGTGTCGGTTGCAGCACTGTGTTTGGGAAACGTGGCTTTCGTCTTTGTTAGAGCCATTTACTTCTTCACCAACACCCGTTTTTGTCGTGCTTATTGGTTTGGTGGATCCGATAAATTTGGGCTTCTATTCCACCAATTTATGGGCCAAAATTCTAATGGCCTTTAGGTGGATTCCAGTATTGGGCTTCTATTCCACCAATTATGAGCCAAAATTCTAAGAAGGAATTTTTATATTCCTATACACTATTTCAATCTTTATTACCATCACTATTCATGTTTTAAAATAATTACATATTATATACTCAATTACCAATTATGTACATTTTAGGCATTTAATGATAATAATTAGTGTCCTAAAATCACTCTAACGTATCTTTCGCTCCCTCACGTTTCTCTCTCCACAACCCCCCCCCCCCCCCCCNGGAGTTTATATCTCAATTTTGAGGGTGTTTTGGTGAAGATTAGACTTGATTTTGGCTGAATTTTATATTGAAAGAAGAAGAAGACGACGACATGACATACATTACGCTCGAAATTGTAGTAAGGTTGTAGTAAAATTATAAAAAAATTATATTATTTGTTTATATATATATATATATATATATATATATATATTTAAATATTGTATGAAAGTTTAACAATATTTGTGATGATCCAAAAGGTCATCTCGTGTTTTAAAACCCAATCCGGGGTTTCGAGGCCTTCAAAACCTCATTTTCTTTCTCCTCGATTTGTGTGCGTAGTCTGGGCGTATATTCGAAAAACCCTTATGTGAATTTTTTTAAGAAATAATGAATTTTGGCTTAAAAGATGATTTTTGTTGACGTCGGTCAACGTTTTGGGTAAACGGACCCGTATTCCGACGGTCTCGGAGAGTTCGTAGTAAAATATGGGATTTGGAAATATTCCCGGAATCAAATTCCGAGGTCCCTAACCCGAGAAATGAATTTTTGAAGAAAAGTTTTTAACTGAAAATATAATGGTTTTTAGAAATTTAACAATGCTTGATTTTGATGATATCGGGCCCGTATTTTGGTTCCGGAGCCCGATACATGTTTAATATGGTATTTAAGTTATGTTTGTGAAATTTGGTAAGAAATGAAGTTTATATGACGTGATTCGGACCCTCGGTTGTAAAAATATGAACTTTAAGTGTTCTTGAGAATTTCATTGATTTTGATGCTAAATTCGTAGTTTTAGGTTTTATTTTAGCAATTTGATCGCATGATCAAGTCCATATGATGCCTTTAGACTTATGTGCATGTTTGGTTTGGGGCCCCGATGTCAGACTTTCTTCTATACGAACGCGAGCATGGTCTCGCGAACGCAAAGGCCGGGGGGCAAAGCTTTTGCGAACGCGACGGGGGTTTCGCGATCGCGTAAGCCTAGCAAGGCAACTCTTTGCAAACGCGACAGTATCCTCACAGATGCGATGAACACTATCGCCCAGTTCATAAATAGTCCCAAATCGGGACTTAGGTTATTGTTTCAAATTTTCAAAAGCTAAACGGCCTAGGGTCAATTTTCAAAAGACAATTTCTTCTCCAAAGTGTTGGTAAGTGATTTTAAATCATTTTATATCAATTACCCATTGTATTTCATCAACTTTCAACCAAAAATCTTGTTATTTAAGGGTAGAAATTAGGGATTTTGGGGGAATTGGGAATTTAGACCACGATTTGGGGTCGGATTCTGAAACTAATTACATATCCGCGCTCGGAGGTGAATGGGTAATCGGATTTTGGTCCGAACTTCGAGTTTTGACTAAGCGGGTCCGAGGTCGATTTTTGACTTTTGGGGAAGAATGTTGGGAATCTATAATTTTCCATTTGAATTGGTTTCTTTGGCTTCAATTGATGTTAATAAGTTAATTATGAATAGATTCTGGCGGATTGGAAGTGAGAATTAAGGGAAAAGCGGTATTTGAGGCTTGAGTTGGCCATGGAATCGAGGTAAGTGTTCGGTCTAACTTTAGCTTGAGGGAATATGTGTTGTTGTCTTACTTGTTACATGTTTAATTGTTGAGTACGATGTATAGGTGGAGTGACGAGTATCTATACGTTGTTGTTATTGGGTCATAACATACAAATGAGCCTTACACTTGTAACCATTGTGTCCCTTATCACGTATTTTTCATGCTTAAGCAGGTTACTCTTCATGTTGAACAAGTTTGGTTATATTTTCTTGTTATTGGGTAATTATTGAGTGTTGACTCAAGTTGAGACTTATATTTTGAATTTAACTGTTGAAACGAGATTGGTTATAGCCGATTCCCTTGCCAGGATGTTATTATTTCTATTATTTGGGTGAGGAAAGAGTGATAAAGCACGAAGGGTGATGCCGTGCACATTCATATTTATGCATATGGCGAGGAAGAGCGATAAAACACAAAGGGTGATGCCGTGCACATTTACATTTATATTGATGGATATGGTGAGGAAGAGAGATAAAGCACGAATGGTGATGTCGTGCACATATCCATTATTCATATGGCGAAGAAGAGTGATAAAGCACGAAAGGTGATGTCGTGCACATTTTTATTATTGATTGCATAGTGAGGATTGAGAGTAAAAGTACGAAGGGTGACGCCGTGCATTTTCTGTTTGTTGTGATTATTTGTTGTTATCGATTCAAGTGCATTAATTGTTTCATTTCCGATATTTCTGTGATTCCTTATTCTGGTACCCCCATAGCATGTTGCACTTTCCCGTTAATTTCTGTTTAGCTTCTATTATTGTTATTATGTTAGTATGTTGTTTAACTGTACATGTTTATGTTGGTTGTCGTATCCTAACCTCGTCACTACTTCGCTGAGGTTAGGCTCGACACTTACCAGTACATGGGGTTGGTTGTACTGATACTGCACTCTGAACTTTCTGTGCAGATCTCGATGTCGGACCTTGTGAGTAGAGTTTGGGTGGCTGCCTTCAGTCCATTGGAGACTCAAGTAGTCCTGCAGGCGTCCGCAGGCCCTAGCGTCCCCTTCTATCCTATTTCTTTTATATTTTATCTACTTTCGAGACAGATGTATATTTCTTTGTTCAAACTATTGTTTGTAGTATTCGCAGACAGTCCGTGAGTTGTGACACCAGTTTTGGGTGGAGTTTTATTATAGTTTCATTATTTGTATTAAGATAATCTGTTAAATTCTGTTCTTCCGCATTATTCTGCTGATTTACTTTTGTTAACATGTAAATTGTTAAAAGATAAAGGAAAAAGGTAAAATATTCTATAACGTTGGCTTTCCTAGCGAGTACAATGTTAGGCACCATCACGGTCCCGATGGTAGGAAAATTCGGGTCGTGACAAGTTGGTATCAGAGCTCTAGATTGCTTAGGTCTCACAATTCACGGACAAGCTTAGTAGAGTTTGAGGGATCGGTACGGAGACGTCTGTGCTTATCCCCCAAGAGCTATAAAGTTAGGAACAGTTTCACTTCTATTCATCTCTGTCGTACGGTTTGATATCTCAATGCTAATTGAACTTATACTCTGTTCTTTCGTAGATGACGAACACGTACTGCTTCATCTGCTGATCAGCAGTCCGAGCCCCCAACGTCAGCTCCTACGAGGGGTAAAGGGCGAGGCTGAGGCCGAGGCCGTGCTAAAGGCTGAGGTAGGGGAAAGGCTCATCCTAGAGCAACAATACCAACGGCAGAGCCTCAGGTAGAGTTTGATGATGAGGTTCCGGCCTAGATAGTTCCAGCGGGCCCAGCTCAGGTTCAGAGGGGTTCATCGCTATCCCGGTACTCCAGGATGCTCTGGTTCGTCTAGTGGGCCTTATGGAGAGTGTCACTCAGGCGGGCATACTTCCTGTAGCACCAGCCATTTCTCAGGCTGAGGGAGGAGCACAGACTCCTGCTACTCGCACTCTAGAGCAGATGGCTCCCCAGTTTCAGACTCTAGTAGTTTAGCCAGTTGGGGTAGTTCCACCGGGTGTTGTAGCTCAGGCCAGTGATGGATCAGATATGTCTTCTGATGCTTTGTGGAGATTGGACAGGTTCACCAAGTTTTTTACTACTACCTATGGCAGTACATCTTCAGAGGATCCCCAGGACTATTTGGACAGTTGTCATGAGGTTCTACGGAACATGGGGATAGTAGAGACCAATGGGGTCGACTTTGCTGCTTTCCATCTGTCAGATTCTGCCAAGAAATGGTGGAGAGATTATTGTTTGACCAGACAAGGTGGGTCACCCTCACTTGGGACCAGTTCTCGCAGCTATTCCTCGAGAAGTTCCGTCCGTTACTCATAGAGAGGAGTACCGTAGGTGATTCGAGCGTCTTTAGTAGGGTTCTATGACTGTCACCCAGTACGAGACGAGGTTTATTGATTTGGCCCATCATACTCTTCTTATACTCCCCACCAAGAGAGAGAGAAAGAGGGTGATGAGGTTTATTGAGGGACTTGCTCAGCCTATTAGATTGCAGATGGCTAAGGAGACGGGGAGCAAGATTTCTTTTCAGGATGCGACCAATGTCGCCAGGCGGGTTGAGATGGTTCTAGCTCAGGGGAGCGGTCAGGGGTCTGACAAGAGGCCTTGTCATTCTGGCAGATTCAATGGTGCCTCGTTTGGAGGCAGGGATTCTTTTGGTAGGGGCCATCCTCCCAGACCATTTCATTCAG